AGGCTGAAAGTGCAGAGGGAAGAAAGTGAGACCTGGTGGAGATTGGAGATGAGTTTATTTGTAGCCTTTCGACTGCAGCCCTTGATAAGAAATATGTTTTATGGTGTCACCTGTCATGATATGTGTATAACTGAGAAGTTTCTTTTATTCTCTGCCGTTGTTGGTGATGTACCTGCAGACAGTATGGGATCGTGGCTCACTATTAATTTTCTGACCCCTTGCGTCAAAGCTGTTTTGAAAACGTTGCTTTGGCTATGGTGTGGATTTATCGGTAAGAGTTAGAAAATAGAGCCCTGGGGAAGACCTTGTCTTGTGCAGTCTGGGTGAGGACAGCTTGCGTGTACGTGAACGTCAGAGTCTCATAGCGGAGTGACGGACAGCTGTCCGTATTGTAATGGCTTGTGTTGCAGATACGTAACATTAGTTTTACTGGAGTCTCCCTTTGGTCAGGTAGCTTTTGGTGTTGGTCCTTAGTAAGCTGAAAACAATTATATCCCAGTGAATTGTTCTGGAGAATGTGTATATGTTATAAGCCCATTTGTAGAGGAGAATAAGCTTGAAAACAAGTTCATCGAATTTTGGAAAAAAAAAATGTTTATTTTGTCATAATCACAAAGTATGTGACAATATAATGTACCTTTTAAAATGTACCTTGTGTAGTAAACATCTATTTTTTTTTATAGTTTTAAAGATAGGGTGGTTTTGGTTGGCAGAAAGTATTTAGAAGTTCACTATGATTTTCAAATCTTGTAGTAACGTGTTGTAAAATGGGTGGTTTATGTCTACTTGTCTAAAGAGTTGATCTGAGTTTTTGAAATTCCCATCAAGCTGCACAAATTGTGTCTTTTGAGAGCATGATTATTGCTACAACATCCAGGATTTCCTGGGTTTCAAATCTGAATGTGCTAAGGACAAAAGCCAAAGTGAAATTAGAAAGAAGGAGATGACCAGGTGATAACAGCATGATTTGCTGTTGCTCAGCAGTGCCCCTTGGTAGCTGCAAGCGAACTGTATGTGAAGCTTGACCAAGAGAGCCGAGAACCTTCCTCTGACCTGATCATCAGAACTGAGAACACTGGAAAATGAGCAGTGGGATTTACTCACCCAGATAAATTACTGTTTAGTGCTGACTTGTAAAAATGTCAAGTCTTTCCATTCCTTATTCAGTCATTAATTCTCTCCCCTTGGGGTGGCGGTGGTGAGGGAGTCAGGGAAGTGCCACTGTGCTGGTGAGTGGTGCCTTCTTCCAGGAGCCAGCCAGTCTGATTGAGCTGTCAGGCGTGTGCCCTGCAGAGTGAAGGTTTTGAGATTCTGCTGTCCAGTTTAATCCTGATGCAGACGCAGTCTGCCACCAACCTGCTTTGTGGTTTTGCTTAGATATTATTTCTTGCTTTTGCGAGAATAATTGTGTTATAGTCAAATTTTCAAATTAGACTTTGAGTTAGTTTATTCCCTTTCTGTTAAAAAGGTAGTATTGTTCCTGTCTTCAAAACAAGATGACCCTTTATCTCTGTCACTCCATTTTGATGCTTTCATCCCATGCTATTTTAACATATAGTATATGTGACTATTTTCAGTGTAGATTGCTAAATTTCATACAACTTAGCTTTTCATTAATTTGACAAGTTGAGTAGGCTGCTTTATAAAGCAAAGAGGTTAGGCCCAGTGCAGTCTTCACCTTGAACACTCTGGCATCCCATATGGACGCCAGTTCTAATCCCTGCAGCCCTGCTTCCCATCCAGCTCCCTGCTTATGGCCTGGGAAATCAGTTGAGGATGGGCCAAAGCCTTGGACCCTGCATTCACGTGGAAGACCTGGAGGAAGTTCCTGGCTCTTGGCTTCGGATCGGCACAGTACTGTCTTGTGATCATTTGGGGAGTGAACCGGCAGACAGAAGATCTTCCTCTCTGTCTCTCCTCCTCTCTGTATATCCCACTTTGCAATAAATTGAATAGATCTTTTTTTTTAAGAGGTTTATTTTGGCTAAGGGCCCTGCTTGCCTGCATCACCCTAGAGGAAGCATAGATGTCTCCATCTGTGGGGTCTGTTCTTACTGGACCACTGGGATTCAGCCATTGGGGGAGGAGTCCACCCTAATGGTCTTATCTGTTTCCAAGGATTCTGCCTCTAAGCCACATATTGGATTATGGTTGCATCCTCTTAATAGCATTAACAGGGCTATGGGGCTATGGGGATTAAATCCTGCATGAGTTACTCACATGCAAGCTGTAGCAGTAGCTTCTGAAGCTGTTCGTCTGCTCTCCCTTCTCCTGGGAGAGGTGGGAAGGTCTGCCCATAGCAGTGCAGAGAATTATCCCCTCCCGCACTTGGAGATGTTTCCCAACTCTTGATGGAATCTTGGTTTCTCATCCTTAGCCCTTTCGGTGTTTTTAATCCAGTTCTGCTTCTGAGAACTACTCGCTTAGTGTCCACCTGCGTAAGGGCATTAGAAGCCCACACCAGGGCCCAGCACAGTGGCCTAGCAACTAAAGTCCTCACCTTGAATGTGCTGGGATCCCATATGGGTGCTGGTTCTAATCCCAACAGCTCTGCTTCCCATCCAGCTCCCTCCCTGTGGCCTGGGAAAGCAGTCCAGGATGGCTCAAAGCCTTGGGACCCTGCACCCTTGTGGGAGACCTGGAGGAAGTTCCTGGCTTCTGGCTTCAGATCGGTGCAGCACCGGATCGGTGCAGTCACTTGGGGAGTGAACCAGCAGAAGGAAGATCCTCCTCTCTGTATATTTATCTGACTTTCCAAAAAAGTGAATAAATCTTAAAAAAAAAAAAAGAAGAAGAAGAAGCCCGTGCCAAGGCATTTGGAATTACTAGGGAAGGACTTTAAATGGCATTTTGTCGTCCTCCTCTCTAATTAAATGATTAAATCAGTTTCATTTACCCCAAGTTACATCTTTAAAAAGGTTTTTAGTTTTGCTAACATAAAGGCTTTTTTTGTTCACTCTCACTGTTTTCATTGTTGTATTTTGGCTAAATTTTCCTTAAGTCTCGCATGTGTAAGATGGTTTCTTCCTGAGCTAAGAAGTCCATAACTGGGTACCAATAAATGCAAGTGGGATTGTTTCTTAATTTCTATTGGACTGCATTTCTTCCTTTATTGGTATAAAATGGAAATCTTTTGTGGAATCTGAATGAATGTGAATGACCTTTAGAGATCTGAGTTTCAATTGTATTAACTTGTTCAGAAATCTGAGTGTGGTAGATTGCTGTCTTTTGCAGGTGTTAATGGACTGATTAGTTGAGGTCATTTCAGGTCATCTCAAGTACTAAAGAATAAGACAGGAGACTGATAAGGAAGTGAGTGTTGCTTGGTATAATTTCCTTTTTTTTAAGGTTTATTTGTGTTGGAAAGGCAGATTTACAGAAAGAAAGATCTTCCGTCCGCAGGTTCACTCCCCAAATGCTGCACTGACCAGAGCTAAGTGGATCTGAAGCCAGGAGCTTCTCCCAGGTCTTCCACACAGTGCAGGGTCCCAAGGCTTTGGGCCATCCTGGACTGCTTTCCCAGGCCACAAGCAGAGAGCTGGATGAGAAGCAGGATGCCATGCCTGGCGGTGGAGGATTAGCCTGCGGTGTGATTTTTTTTCTTCTTTCTCCTTTTCTTTTTCTTTCCTTCCTTCTCTATTTTTTGTTGTTGTTGTTTTTGTTTTGAGATGTATTTATTTTTATTTGAAAGGCAGAGTTAGAGAGAGAAGGTGAGATAGAGAGCTTCCACGCACTTTCTCCATAAACCGGTGTTAGGCTGGTTCGAAGTTGGGCCCCTGGAGCGTCCTCCTGTTCTCCCTCACCTGGGAGCTCTCAGTTAGGAAGCCAAGGTGTGCCGCTTTAAGAAGATGGACTTCAGATCCGAGTGGTTCTGTGGACACTTTGAGTTCCACTTTGGCCTGTAGTTCAAGGCTGACCCCACTTATATCCTGTGCCACCCTTCCCCAGCCTCCATATGGGTCCCCCTGCTTCACCAAATTCCTTCACTGCTGATGAGCAGTGAATAGGGCTGCCCACTTACAGATTTCTAGTTATCCCACAACTCTATTTGTAAGCCAGCTTCTTAATGAAATAGTTGTTTGAATTTATGGGGCATGCCTTTGGTTTTGGCAACATTGTGCCTGCCACCTGTAAGGGACACGTCTGTGATTTAGAAAGGGAGAAGTGCAAGTGAAAGCTCAGGAGTGTAAGGCCCGTGCAACGCGGCTCTCTTGCTCGCACTACACTTCCTTTTGAGGTAGGAGTTATGGGTAGCCAGCTGAGTGTGCGTTTAATGTTGTGGGCTTGTAAGGAAAAGAATGGGATTGAAAGTGACATTGGGTAGAGACTGCTTCCTATTTCCTGGTGATAAAATAATTGGATCTGCGTTTCACTAGGTCCAGAGCCTGTTCTTAAGTCCTTCTGTAAAAATTGTAAAGAGGTGACATGTTAGAGCTGTAGTTGTTGATTTGGTTCTGTGAAATCAAGAATGTATCTTTAATTGTGTGGTGACAGGCTTTCTTTCTATCTTCAAAGAGTTCTTAAAATGAAGGTTTTTGATATATAATTTCAGATTATTTTTATGAAAAAATTAATATTTTTAAGCTGTATTTGGTAATACTTCTAACAGCTGTATATGAAAATATAAATCAATCATTGTATGGATTTCTATTTTAAAGTTAAAGTCACATCTCAAAGACACCAGAAGCAATTAACTTGATTGAAATCTTATTTAGTAGCTCGTCTTTAGTAGAATCTCTGTGCTTGTTGGTCAGTCGCATTTGTTAGTGACTGAAGTATGTATTTGTAATGTCTTAATTGCATAATATCTCCTCATATAAAGCATTAATGGGATTTTTAAAAAAATAGCTCAGATGTTAATTAAATGTTTTCTGACACTACCACCCCCACTTTCCCATGTTCCATCTGACAGAATGAGTCTTAAAAAGAAAAGGCTGTGAAATTAAAGTTTTTTACCTTAATATGTCAGCACATACCGAGTTCTTGTTCTCTTTTTATAGGGAAATCCTCATTGACAATTCAGTTTGTCGAAGGTCAATTTGTTGACTCCTACGATCCAACCATAGAAAACAGTAAGTATTGTCTTCAAGTACTTATAAACTGAGAAGTGCTCTTTTGTATACAAATAGCCATTGTCTATTCATGGAAGCTTTGATTACAGAGGCAATTCAGTTGAATCTGTGTATGTCTGAGGTCAAAGAAAACTTGGAAAATTTTTATTACCCTCTTTGAGCATCCCTTGCCATCTAGATATTGCTGCTTCAGTTAGTAGAAATCATTCTGTTGGAACTTCCACCTTTCAGCCAGGTACCTTTCAGAAGGTAGAAGTGGAATAGTCCTTGCTCGGGAGTTTCTTTGTTACTCTCAGCAGTAAGCCTTTTTGGAGATTGCAGGCTTGAAAACAAAGAATGAGAGCTCCTTGATCCCTCCTGATCCCTCCTGCCTCAGCTGTAGCACTAGTTCCCCACGCTGCCCTGCAGTCTTGAAGACTTGGGGAGGCTCTGGAGAGATGAGCTGTTCTGAGAGCCTGGGAACCTTACAAAGGGGTTAGCTGAGAAAGCCTGTTGGCATCCCAAGCCGTGCTCAGGGAAAAAGAGCAGCCAGTTAGAACCAGCTACACCCTTTACTGGATGCAGTCCCCGTGTGTGGTTTTGGGGTTTTCCAGTGGGTTCTAGGCCCTGAGCAGCCACATCTGGGGGCGAGCAGCTGAGGTGTTTGGTCCTGGGAGGTCCATGTGTTGGAAGCTCATCTTGTAACAGGTGATTGTGGAACCCCAGCTAGGCCCCTAGAGCCGGTGTTGGCAGACAAACACTTGTTGAGACAAAGGCTTACTGAGGATTTGTTTCCAGGCACATACAGTTCTGAATGTGGCATTCATTTAAAAATGGACTGGCCTTTTCGGCATCACACTGAACAGCCAGGTTCATTACAGTGTAATAGCTAGGTTCATGGACTTTACCTATTGGAGTCATATAAGAGACACACTAAAACGCTACAGCTTGTATTGGGAGAATTCCCCTCTTTTTAGTTGATAAAGAATAATTTCCTGGAATTTTGGAGGCTGGGAAATCCAAGGTCGGTAGTTGCCTCTGACAAGGCAAGAATTCCCACTGGGGCAGGAGTCTACAATGAAGGAGGTAGGGTCTACAATGTACACTTGTTGGGGGCCAAAGGCTTTGGGCCATCCTCTACTGTTTCCCCAGGCCACAAGCAGGGAGCTAGATGGAAGTGGAGCCTCTGGGACATGAACCAGTGTCCATATGGGATCCTGGCTTGTGCAAAGTGAAGACGTTTTTAGCCACAAGGCTACTGCACCGGGCCCATGTGTTGAAAATTTTAGGAAATTAAAAATTTAGCATCCTTAAATGAAGTTTCATTAGAACACAGCCACATGCATGTTTTATGTCTTTGGTTGCTTTTGCTCTGAAGTGATAATTGTTCATTACAAGGACCAGGTGGCTTACATAGGCTAAGTATTTACTTTTTGTCCTTTTACAGAAGTTTATCCACCTGTCTTGGTGTGATATTGGCAGAGAAGGAAGTTGCTGGTTGCTAAACTAATCGGCAGGACCCATGTGTGAGGCTAACTTGTGGTATTTGCAGAGAAGAGTCCAGAATAGATCCTGTGTTAATTTGTTGAAATGGTCGTGTATAGAATAGTGAGCATGGGGAGCAGTTGGATTTAAATGCTGGGTGAACAAGCTAGGTTAGCTGTTCACTGAAGAGATAGCAGAAGAAGAAAATCGTCATGTGCCCTGAACGTTAGTTTGCTACACATTAACAATTTAGGATTTCCTGTCCTTAAAAATTTGAGGCTCTCTTGGGAATGCCATTGGTGTTATCTCAAAATCAAAATGAATTACCTGTACTTTTGTAATTTTAGAAAGTGTCCGTCCCACCACTAGGTCACAATGGCCAGGGCTGGGCCGAGCAAAGTGAGGAGCTTCAAGCCCGAGCCCTGTGTCGCACAGGAGGTGCAGAGGCCCAGTTACCTGCTGCCTCCAGACTGTACAAAAGCGGGAAGCTAGAATTGGAAACAGAGCTAGGACATGAACCAAGCGTTTGACCCTCCCAGTCCAGGGCACTCACTACCAGGCCACGTACCCACGCCGACTTTTGAAAGTCATCTAGTTGCATTTCAAATTTTTGTCCTGTTTTAGTATTCAATAACATTTTTTATTTCAAAGGTGAATCCAAGGGTGGACACTGTGGCCCGGCCCATTGAGACACCTGCACCCTGTATGAGTGCCCTTTCTGATTTCGAGTTTGACTTCTGATCCAGTTTCCTGCTGGTTCAACTGGAAGAGCAGCAGATAACCATGTGCTGACGGGAAAAGCTGAGCAGAGTTGCCCGCTGCTAGTTTCAGCCTTACCCAGGCTTGGCTGCTTGAGGGCATTTGATGAGTGAACCAGCAGATAGAGAATGTCTCTGTCTCCCCTCTCTGGCACTCTCCCTTCGAAAGAAAGAAAACCTTTTCTAAAAAAGTGAATTCAAGTGGTTTTATTTGAATCATTGAAAAGTTCATGAGGCATATTCAGGTCAAACTCTTTACCAAACTTCTGGTTATCTTAACACAGAGCAGAAGCCTGTATTTCTACCCTTTACCTGTTTGGTAGAAAGGCATTGTTCAGCATTGTGGCCTAGCAAGTAAAAGCTGCTGCCTGTGGAACTTGCGTGCTCTGAGTGTCAGTTTGAGTCATGTTGCTCCACTTCAATCCAGTTTCCTGCTAATGACGTAGAGAAAAAGATGGCCCTAGTGCTTGAACTCAAGCAATGCACATGTGAGAGACCCAGATCAAGCCCCGAGCTCCTGGCTTCATCTGTGTCCAGCCCCAGCATTTATGGCCATTGGGGGGAATTAACCAGCTGTTGGAACATCTTCATCTTTGTCTTTCTCTAATTCTGACTTTAAATTAGTTACATTAGATTTTACAAAAAACAGTAATAGTGAACTGAAACTTTTCAAAAAGTTACTTGAGGGCCTGGCACGGTAGCCTAGGGACTAAAGTCCTCACCTTGCTTGTGCCAGTCTGTTTCCCAGCTGCTCCATTTCCCACCCAGCTCCCTGCTTGTGACCTGGGAAAGCAGTGGGGGATGGCCCAAAGCTCCTGGCTTTGGATCAGCTTAGCTCTGACCATTGCGGCCACTTGAGTAAACCAGTGGATGGAAGATCTTTTATCTGTCTCTTCTCTCTGTAAATCTGACTTTTCTATAAAAATAAATTAAAATCTTGGGGAGGAAGTAAATAAAGTTATTTGAGAGGCCAACAGACAGGAGATCCCTGTGTGCTGGTTCATGCCCACAGGACCTGCAGTTAGCATTGGGCTGGGTGAAAGCAGGAGTTGGGGATCCATCCTTCCTTTCTTTCTTTTTCTCCTTCCTTTCCTTCTTTCCTAGATATATTTTTTATTGGGTGGATTTACAGAGAGAATGTCTTCCAGCCACTAGTTCACTACCCAAATAGCCACAGTAACCAAAGCTGAGTCAATCTGAAGCCAGAAGTCAAGAGCTTTTTCTGGGTCTCCCACATGGGTGCAGGGTCCCAGAGACTTTCCCAGGCCACTAGCCAGGAGCTAGATGGCAAAGGCAGTAACCAGGATATAAATCAGCACCCATATGGGGTGCTGGCACCACAGTGGTAGAGGGTTGGCCTGTTGAGCCCCGGCACAGGACTCCCTAGGAACTGGGGGGTCATTCCAGGTTTCCCACAAGGGTAGCAGGACTGCAGTTACTGAGATCATCAGTAACGGCCCTGAGGTCTCCCTGTAGCAGGAAGCTGAAGGTGTCTTAAAATGCCCATCCCCAAAATCCAACTTTGGTTTTTCTTTTCTTTCTCTCTTCCCACCCCCCCTCCCCCCATTTAATTATTTAATTGGAAAGGAAGGGGACTTCTAGCAAGAAACTAGATTGGAAGCAGTGACTGAGCTAAGTAGCAGCAGCACCATTCATCTTGCCCAAGCTCACATATTTGGAATCATTTGACTCAGTTCTCATTCACTCTTTCAGTCAGAAAATCATTGGACTGTGCTTCAGATGCATCCAGAACCTCTGGCTGTTGAGGCCATCGTCGTTTGTAAATAACGATTGTCTACTTGGTTATGATGTTTGTTGCTGTGTTAGTGGGTTCCCACCTAATTTCCCTGTGTGCCTTTTTGTTGATCAGTCATGATGTAGCCAAGTAGATTATCTTGCTACTCAGAAACACTTGGTTTTTTGTCACGTTCGGCCATGTTGACTTGCTTGCTTTTTCCTCCTGCTATTCGTATTTAACCTCTGTGTGTGGGTGCTCTGCCAGAGAAGACACCAGGCAGACTGAGTTCATGTTGATATAGCTTCACCTTCCTTCTTCACTAGGCCAGCCTGCCAGGCGCCTGAAGCAGTGTACTGATAGTAACAGACATGAAATAGTTTAGTGCATGATGCTCTGTTTCAGTTTGTCATAATAATTAGATCATGCTTCATTTCTGCAGTTACTCTTTTTTTCCTTTTTTAAATTGGAAAGTCAGATATATAGAGAGGAGGAGAGACAGAGAGGTCTTCCATCCAAGGATTCGCTCCCCAAGGGGCTGAAATGCCTGAGCTGTGCTCGATCTGAAGCCAGGAACCAGGAACCTCTGCCAGGTCTCCCACATGAGTGCAGGGTCCAAAGGCTTTGGGCCGTCCTCCACTACTTTCCCAGGCCACAGGCAGGGAGCTGGATGGGAAGCAGAGCTGCCGGGATTAGAACCAGCGCCTATATGGGATCCTGGCATGTGCAGGCTACCATGCTGGGCCTGCTGCAGTTACTTCTGATTGAAGATCACTAGTCTTACTGCTCACCAGTGCTTTCTAGTAGCTTTAATTAAATCATTTGATCTCACTGACTGAAGATAAGCTCCTTGACTGACAGTGCCAGATGCATTCCAAATTGAGATGAAAACATACATTTGGAGTTTTCTTTTGAATTGATGTAACAGGCTACATTGGATATTGACTCTCTCTCTCTCTCTCTCTCTCTCTCTCTCTCTCTCTTTCCACTTTATTTGAAAAGCAGATCTTGCATCCACTAGTTCACTCTCTAGATGTCTGAAGCAGCCTGGGCTGAGCCAGGTTGATGACAGGTGTTCCATGCAGGTCACCCCAAGATGACAGGAATGTCAGCCCTAAACCATCCCTGGCTGACTTCGTCACAGGATGTCTGTTAGAGGGAAGCTGGAATTGAAGCAAATCAGGGCTGAAACCTGAGTGCTCAAGCGGTGGCCTAACTGAAGCACCAACTACCCACCCCATCAGTTTCCCATGGATTCTGATCCTATTTCATCTAGTTAACTCTTTAAAGTGAGAAAGTGTGACAGCTTAGACATCTGGTCTGTAAACATTTTTCATTCACCTTTGTTTTAGCATCCTTGCTTGGTGCTAGCAGATTGTTTTCAGTAATGCTAGTAGATTCTGTGACTTCTTTCAGCTGTCCTTTCTGGCTCTGTGGAACTCATAATTCAGACAAGCTTTCCTGTCCCCTCCTTGATACTTTTAGTGTTCTTGCATAATTTCCATGTATCTGGTTCAGCTTTGCCTTTGCCTGGGAAGTAGTGGGATACCTCCCCTGGCTCTGGTTACACACAGCAGCAGTCAGGACATGGTGTGAGACAAGGTGGCTGTGGCTGGGCGTGCACAGGCTCTGCTCTGCCTTCTGGGTGTGGCTCCAGGGGTCACATCTTAGCGTTCTGCGGTGTTAATAGTGCTTTGTTCTTTTGTTTGAAGTCTCTCTCCTTAGAATTGTAGGTTGATTTTTTTTTCCTGGAATTATTTCAATCTGGGTTTCCTCCCTTGCTAGAAAAAAGAAATGGTCCTAAAGCTACATGGGAATGATGAGTTCAACATAGAACTTCTGTTCTATTGCTGTCTTATCTGCCAGTAAAATTGTTAATTTTCTTAAGTTCTGAGATTTCTTAGTACTTAAGTTGGCTTTTTGTGCCATGGTGCCAGGCTTCCTATAAATTTTCACAAGAGTGAGGACCTCCCTCACAGAACATTCAAATTACAGGATATGAATTATAACTTAAGTTGTTTGAAAAAGATTAAAGGTTTATCCAAGCCTAATTAGTAATCAGCCATTACCTCTTGGTTAAATAGTGGAAGTTGGAGGAAATCTGTACAACTCAGTTTAGTTCTTTTTCTTTTTTCATTTTGTGGAAGTTTACAAGATTATTAGGGCCTCTTTATTTGGTTGGTTGCATTGTTCAAACTTTAAATGGGCTGCAGCTGTTTATTTTCTAAGACTAATAATGAATTCCCTTTTCCCATAGCTTTCACCAAGCTGATCACAGTAAACGGACAGGAGTATCATCTTCAGCTTGTAGACACAGCCGGGCAAGTAAGTGACCACAGGATCTCGGTGTCTGACAGCATCTCTGGCAGGCCTGGGCCAGCACTATCTCCCATGTGTTAGCTCCTCCAGAACTGCTTGTGTACATAACTTAATGTAAATATGCCATCTACTGCATCTTCCAGACAGGCACTTGTGGTACTTTTTCAAATAAATTGCTTTTCTATTTTAAAATCGCTTTAAAATTGTTTCAGGTGTGTACTTAACACTGTGACTGAAGGTTAACACTTACTATAGGGTATTGGTTTTCTGTATTGTGAATTTTGATTTTGTATTAGAATTCATAATAGTGCCTTCTCTCATTGTACTCTTCATTAAGGACACAAGTGAGTCTTTTTGAGGGAGAGATGAGAAGGATACGCAGAAGCAGTTGATTGAATCTGGTGAGGGGTCCAGATGCTGCTTCATCGTGCCTGTAGCTTGTGTGCTTAGGTGGATAGATTTTGAAATGATTGTAGAGTGCTGATTTGATTTGCTTGCTGAGTGGTAGGTAATTTCTGAAGCTGAAATTGTACCCCAGAAAGGGGTTGGTCATGGTCAGATTCCGTAGTGCTGATGTGTGGGATGGATCACTAGGACAGCTGCCTGGAAGCAAGGAGGATGAAAAAGAACATTGGGGTGGGGCGAAACAAACATCCTTTCCACACTTTTTCCGGCCCTCGCTGCCATAAGCCTGCTTTTACTAGAATCCATTTGGTTAGGCTGAATTGTACTCATTCCCTGAAGGGGAGGAAGTGCTCAGAGGCCGAGATGTGAGTACCGACATCCTGTTGCCCTTGTATCTCAGAGCCAGCAGCGGATCAGACTGGCAGGAGGCTGATTTGTCCTGGAACTTTGGAATGAATTCCTTCTGCTCTGTGTTGTGTCTGATTTTGTTTTTAGATTTATTTACTTTTGTTTGAAATAGTGAGCCTTTCCATTCGATGGTCATTCTTCAAATGGCTGCAGTGACTGAAGCTGAGCCTAGAGCCAGGTGCTTCCTCCAGGTCTCCCATGTAGGTGCTGGGGCCCAAGGACTTGTGCCACCCTTAGCTGCTTTCCCAAGCCGTAAACAGGGCCTCAATCAGAAGTGGAGCCACCAGGACTTGACTCCACACCTATATGAGCTGCTGGCACCATGTTTTGAAGAGAACAGATATGAAATGAAACACATTCCAGAACCCTAGCTTGATGCGACAAGAAACTATTGAGGGGTGTTAGCACTGAGCAACCCCTGGAGTTTCCATTCGGGAAGGTGAAAGGAAATCAAGGTGTGTCTTATCTGTGAGCATGTTCCCAGAACTGTCATGCACCTCCCTCGTTGGTCTTGTGGTCAACATATGTAGTATGCTTGAATTATCAGTTATCTTGGTGGTTTATTGGAGCAAAATCATCTTGGGATTTTACGAGCATACCTGCGTATAGGACCGAAAGTAAGTTTGGGGTTTATTGAAACATGGGGAGGACAGACGTCTCCATCAGGCAACAATGCCATAGGTCACGTAGTTTCTCTTAGGAGTCAGTGTAGAAGAGCTTCTTGAGTAGAGTGTTTCATAGGCTTATAGTTTTTACCTTTTATACCTCAGGTGACTAATTTGTCTGAACCAAGATACTTTTAGCATGAAGGGTGCTGCTAATAGTAATTATGCTGTGACAACAGATAGTGCTTGGTCAAAGAGATATCATTGGGGCTGCTCTGCTTCTGATCCAGCTTCCTGCTAATGTGCCTGGGAAAGCAGCAGAAAAATTGGCCAATTACGTGGGCCTCTGCCCCTATGTGGGAGACTTAAGTAGAGTTCCTAGCTCCTGCTTTGAACCTGACCCAGTCCTGGTGGTTGTGGCCATTTACGGGGAAATCAGTAAAGGGAAGTTCTCTGTCTCTCCGTCTTTATCTGTTGCTCTGCTTTTCAGAGAAGTCATGAAGTAAGTAAACTTTTTCTTTAATGCCACTTTCAACATTTTTTTTAATTGAAAAGAAAGATGACCATGCATTTATAATGGGACTCTGGAATCGGGATTTCTTTTATGTCTTAGGAATCTTTGTTGGGCTCCTGAAAAGTGAGCATGAGGATGTGAATTGATAAATCACTTCCCTGTTCTGTTATTGTTGAGATGTATTTCCATCAGGCTAGGAGGGCACCCAGGTTACACAGTTGTCTGGGCTTGCATCCTGGCTTCTCTTGTAGATGCAGTGACCTTGAGACACGGAATGGATTTTGATGTGCCCGATCACCTTCAACTGACATGATGAGCATGACATCCCCTATGGCATCAGTTTGTGTCCCCTGCTGCTCCATTTCCAGTGCAGCTCCCTGCTAATGTCCTAGGAAAGCAGCAGAGGATGGCCCAAGCCCTTTGACAACTGCCCCATGTGGGGAACCCAGAATAAGCTCCTGGCTTCAATCTGGTCCAACCTTGATTGTTGCGATTCTTTGGGGAATAAGAAGAGATTTCTGTTTTCCCACCCCTCTTTGTAACTCTACCTTCCCAATGCTAGAGCAGTGTTGCCTGTTGACTCACTCAGCATTACTAACCTTCAGTGGTGCTGGCACAGATGGGCTTAGTATGAGGAAGCTGGCCTTGAAAACATTTCCTTGCAGAATTTCTTGATTTTCTCTTTATCAAAGACATGTTCCTCTGAGATAGTATTTTACTTTGAAGCATAACTATGCTTAGACATAAGTACTTTTACGGCTAATGGTATAATAATATAAATAAACCAAAAGAAGTGTAAGGGGTGAATCTGTATAGCATGCAGGAGCAGAGGACAGATTAGCAGCTCCCTAATCTTAGTACTTTTGATTCTGTTACTACTAGATAAAGGTTAGAGAATTTTTGCACAAAATACTCAATTTTAACATGCTTTGAATAATTAGTTCCTAGTTAACTTAAAGGCTGAAGTCTCAGGAAACAATGAAGAGGTTATGCTAAGAGTTAACAATTGGTGATAGCAGAGTACAGACAGCTCCTGTCCTTTGGAAGCCTGGAGGAGGGTGCGACCTTTGGTTACTGCTCCAAGACCTGTGGATTCGCACTGGGCTGCTCCAGTGGGGAAGGTGGTTGAGAAACAGATTCTTTGGAAGCAGTCTGGAGTCTGACCACTGACACGTGCTGAGAAGTAGAAAAGTTGCTTCATGCTAGCAAGTGCTGTCTGCTTAACAGTTGCTGTGGGCACATACATGTCACTGGGATTTAAAATTGTCCAGCTAGGGAAGTTGAAAAACATAGTTAAAAGCAGGTAGCACAGTTTGCTTGACACATTTTGTTTAGACCTAATTTTGAAGTGGAAGTAGGTACTCTAGATGAATTTTGTGAGCTTTTCAAGGCCAGCATTGCAATGGCAGTAGTAAAGCTGCTGCCTACGACACTGGCATCCCAGAGGGCAGCTGGTTCCCAGCTGTTTTACTTCCTGTCAACTCTGCTCACGACCTGGGAAAGCAGCAGGAGGTAGCTCACGTCCCTGAACGCCTGTTCACCACGTGGGAGACGAAGCTTGAGGTCTGCGCTTGGCTTGGTGCTAGCTCTGGTGGCCGTCTGGTGGTGTGAGCCCCGATGGAGGAAAGCTCGCTCGCTCGCTCTTTGAAAAAATGTGAGCTTTTCATTGAAAAGAAAGGGAATCTTGCTTTATTCATCATTAAAGCAAACTCACTGTTTTATTTTTAAGATTTATTTACTTATTTGGAAGCAGAGAGAGAAATCCTGTATACTGATCCACTTTCGAGTGTCTGCAACAGCCAAGGCTAGGCCAGGCCCAAAGTAGGCATCAGGGGCCTGCATGGGTGTCGGACCTCAGTGCTGCCATGGGAGGCAGAGCAGCCGGGACTCAAAAACCAACACTTGGAGTTGGGTCACTGTGTCCCGCTCATGGCGACATAGTGCTGTCCCCAAGTGTGTTTCTTTAAAGATAGATACAAATAAATACACGTGGCATAAGATAGCACAAAAATGCTGTAGTGAAGCCTAGCTACCCCCAGCTAGCTCAGCCCCTTCCCACCTCAACAACTCATTGCCAGTTTCTAGCTTGTGCTTTCAAGATATTTGATAGATTAAAATACAAATATAATTTTAAGTTATTTTCTTTCTTACACTAAAGTCATGCATCTCCATATTGGAGATTGTTCTGTTTTATCTCAGGTAGGACCAGGACGCAGTGGCCATGTGACGTCTCATTGTTCAGACCCGTCACGTCTTGGTACAGGTTTCCTTGTTTTAGATCCAGGGTCTAAGTGTGCAAACTTTCTAACAGTGGAAGTGTGTTGGCTTGCAGTTTTTGTCCTTCCCAGCAGTGAATCGAAAGCATCTGTGTCTATACTTTTCTCAACAGAGAATATTAACAAAACTCTTGTTACTTGTCTGTACTAATTTATTTGGAAAGGGAGATTTACAGAGAGAAAGCTCTTCCATCTGCTTATTTACTCTCTCAATGGCCGCAAGCAGTCGGAACTGGCCAGCCCAAAGCCAGCAGCTTTTTCTGGGTCTCCCACACAGGTGCAGAGTCCCAAAACTTTGGGCCGTCCTCCACTGCTTTCCCAGGCCACAAGCAGGGAGCTGGATAGGGAGTGGAGCAGCCGGGCCCTATGGGATCCTAGTGTGTGCGAGGGGAGGATTTAGCCCTTGAGCCATCATGTCAGGCTCACCCTATTACTGACTTTGCCATTTCTTCTGTAGTGTTGTTGATGTTTCCTTGCTGATGTAAGAAATTTCTTAAAGATATAAGGAAAAATTAGCATGTTGAATAATTTGAGATACAAGGTTTTATTCTCAGGTTTGTTTATGGTTTCTGTTTAGACACTTAGATTGTGTAAACTTTTTTTCAGTTCACTAAAAAAATTCTATGCATAGTTTTTGCCTTTTTAATTGATTTACAGAGAGAAGGCGAAACAGAGATAAAGACCTTCCATCTGCTTGTCCACTCCCCAAGTGGCCACAAGGGCCAAAGCCAAGTGGGTCTGGAACTAGGAGTCTCCTCCAGGTCTCCCATGCAGGGGCAGGCTCCCAAGGCCTTGGGCCGTCCTCTACTGCTTTCCCAGGCCACAAGCAGGGAGCTGGTTACGAACCAGCGCTCATGTGGAATGCTGGCACATGGTGACAAGGACAAAGCCATTAGGCTACCATGCCAGGCCCTATGAGTATGAATAGTTCTCATTTTCATCATGTAATCTTTGATTTCTCTGGAATGCATGTTTTAAAAAAATATTAATTACAGATCAGCTTGGCTGTTAACTCCTAGGTGGCTTTCTGCTGTTCCTAAGTGTTTTGTTGAGGGTTATTTTTTAACCTCACTGATTTGAAATGTCAGTATTACTATTATAATTCTCATAGCTACTTGGGTTTTTCTGGATGGTCTATTGAGCCATTACAGCATTATTTTTAGTTACTATTGCTTCATGTTTTTCACTCACCTGCCCTTAGGACTTCTGTTCTTTCTCAGATAATGTGAAAGAGAATTGATATCATGTAAACATTTATAGATTAATTTAGATTTCTTTAATGAGTGTCCTTTTGATTATGCATGTTTTTGCTGAAGACTATAGCATGCTGTTTTATTTTTTTTCTTTTGGATCTTGAACATTTTTTTATTTATTTACTTATGTGATAATGATACACATGCTAGCATAAGTTTAGTGATGAGAAACATTGCCAAGTGTACCTGACAGTCGGTGGGCATCTCAGTGAAGGACTGAGAGCCGGGAGTCTGTGTTTGAATATCACATGAATGTTGATTTGCTGGCATCAACACTTGGGAGTTTAGCTTAGCAGTAATGACAGCTGTCACTGACGGGGATGTGTAGGGCCTGGCTCCTTAATGCTCTACTTCCTGCCAGCAGACAGGAGAGAGGCAAGGTGATGGGTCAGGTGGTTGGGTTTCCCCTGGTTTTTATAGCTGGGGGGTGAACTGGTGTGTCGCAGTCCCGCAACGATGGACTTGGTGCACGGAGCCGATAGTAACACACGTGGACCCTGACTGATGGTCAAAAGCCCAAGTTTATTAGTGGCATCAGACTTTATACACTGAGGGTCATATGGGATAAGGGAGGAAGTATTGAGTTCATCAACAAACCCCAGTAACAGTTTCTATGCTTTTGTTTGGAACTCCTTTTGTCTTGTATATTCCACCAAGTGTTCTCACACACATACTGTCCATTCAACTGTTCTTATACAAATGGTATCCAATCAGGTATACAAAAGGTAGCCATTCAGTTGTTCTCATGCAAATATTATCCAATCAACTCAACTGTAATCCTGTGCTCGTTGACCTTCTAGGGTCACAATGTCCTCCTACACTGGTGAGTGGGAGTTTTCTTTGTCCCTGCCTCTCAAAAAAAGGAGTGGGAGATTAATACTAGAAATAAAGAATGTCTTATATTGAGTATATGACAAGTTCAGTAATACAGAAAAGCTATTTTCTGGTTTGTGAATACTGTCTATGATGAATTGGTAAAGTTTAGTCTTCCTGTGTGTGTGTTTTCTTAACTTTATCATTGTGAACAGTAGTTGCAATTAGTCTGTGGATCTATAAAGTTAACTATTGCTTGAGCTAATAATGTGTCATGACATATATTTTTTGGTATAATAACACTTGGCATGTATGACATATTTTTGTAAATATATTTCAACTGAAATAAAGTACTTGTGCCAGAAATGCTGTTTAAAATGGCATTGGCATTCGAACTTTGTGTACGTTGTCTATCTGTGTTTGGGCAAAGTTCCTTATGGTTGCTGTGTAAGACCCAGGCCTAATACCCTATTATAAAATGTGTACCTTTGGTTTTAGTTCCTAAAATCACTTAGTAATTTGTTGTTGGTGAGTGACCTGTGACCTTCAGAGAACACATGACAGGTTTTTCATTATAACATTACATTTTATTACAACATGAAAATGTAGGACTTATAATTTCCTGTGGGGCTGGGGTCTAAGATACTCTAGACATCTCTAAGAGAAGTCTCGTACCTACGCCCAGGAGTGAGATCACCTCTCGCCCTTGCCTCTCGAGTCCCACAGCAGCCAGGGTCTCTCCCCGCCATCCCACCCCCTGAGCCTTGTAGAGTATATAGGCTGTTTCTGCTTCTGTGGAACTTAGATTTATTTGGTTTCTTCTGATAATACGTGAAAAACTTCAAGTAAAGATAAAAGTGACTTGTTATGCTCTGTAAAGATTTACCTCAAGTGTCATTTTCCCCCCCACAGGATGAATATTCCATCTTTCCTCAGACATACTCCATAGATATTAATGGCTATATTCTTGTGTATTCTGTTACATCAATCAAAAGGTAGGATTTCTGCTTGCTTGAGTTTTTTTTGTGTATGTGTATAAATTGCATTAAACTTTTTAAACCATTTGCTGGAATTAGTAGTATTAAGTTTTACTTAATCATGAGGCCACTTGTGAGTGACTTTCTGGGGACAGCAGGCTTGAGGAGGGGAGTGTGTCCCAGCAGGTGTTCTGTCACCCTTCCTGCCACCCAGGTGCCATGACTGAGCAGGATCTAAGCTTTTTTGCTGATGGGAATGAGCTGTGTGAATAGATTTTACTTAGTGTGTTTTCGCAGTGTTAGTATGACTTCGGGGGTTCAGTTTCTTGAATATTCTGCCCTTTGTGATTTTGTATAATTTCATTTGAGCTCCTTGAGGTACCATTTGCTATATCTGAGTGTGCTTAAGGCCTGGCTTTTCTGCTTCTGATCCAGCATCTTGCTGAATGTGCATCCTAAGATGCATTAGATAATGCCACATGTACATGGCCACCATTCACACCAGAACCAAATCTTTAAAATGTAAAAAATATATTTGGAAAAATAGTTACTCTCGGGCATTAAGATAATGGATAGAAAGTTTTCTGATGTGTCCATTGATTTAAGTCTCCCTTTTATAGTGAACACAAAATAATCATTAAAAACAACATTTCTCACTTGTGACATTAAAAGATAACATCAAGGGCCTGGCACAGTAGCCTAGTAGCTACAGATCTTGCCTTACACGCATCAGGATCCCATATGGGCATCAGTTAATGCCCCCGCTGCTCCACTTCCATCCAGCTCCTTGCCTGTGGCTTGGGAAGGCAGTAGAGGGTGGCCAAAACCCTGCACATGTGTGGGAGACCTAGAAGAAGCTCCTTGCTCCTGGCTTCGGGTTAAGCTCAGCTCCCTGTCATTGCAGCCACTTGGAGAGTGAACAAGCATATTGTAAATCTGCCTTTCCAATTAAAAAAATAAAATAAATTAAAAAAAAAAAAAAGATCTAGAGAGGCAGAGACAGGTCCTTCTCCTCATAACTGTACCTTTCAGATAAGTAAATCTTAACATTGGAATGTTGGCTCACTCCTTAAATGACTGCAGTAGCATGAGCTGAGCCAGACCAACACCTGGAGCCTGGAGCTCCAGCTGAGGCTTCCACATGGTGACAGACTGAAGCATTCAGCATCTCTGCTGCGTTCCCAGATGCGTTAGCAGGGAGCTCCACAAGTGGAGTGGCAGATCTTGAATCAAACTGGCACTCACATGGGGTGCTAGTGTCCAGCATGCCTGGTCACATCACAGGGCTGGCCCCGTTTTGGTGTTTGTTTTTTGTTGGTGGTGGTGGTTTTTTTTTTTTTTTTTTTTTTTAAAGATTTATTTATTTGTATTGGAAAGATACATTTCCAGAGAGGAGAAAAGTAAAGGTTCACTCCCCAAGTGGCCACAACAGCCAGAGCTGAGCCAATCTGAAGCCAGGAGCTTCTTCCGGGTCTCCCACGTGGGTGCAGGGTCCCAAGGCTTTGGGCCGTCCTTGATTGCTTCCCCAGGCCACAGGCAGGGAGCTGGGTGAGAAGGGGAGCAGCTGGGCTACAAACTGGTATCCATTTGCGATCCATTAAGCTGCATTTGAAAATGTGCAAACTTCTCACCAAGAGCTTGACCTGTTTGAGAAAACTGGTCTATTTTAAAGCAGAGAACCAAAGGCTTTCTCTGTTGTCTTAGGGGTGCCAAGAGAAAGCTTTCTTCACTGGTCCACTTCTCAAATACACCAGCCAGGGCAGGGCCAGGCCAAGCCAGGAGCCTAGAACTCAGTCTGAGTCTCTGCGGCAGCAGGGTCTCAAGTACACTGACCCTCATCTGCTGTCTCCCAGGGCACCTATTACCTAGAGGTTATCTTCAGAAGTGAAGCTGGGGGTCCAGCACGGTAGCCTAGCAGCTAAAGTCCTTACCTTGCATGCTCTAGGATCCCACATGGGCACTGATTCTAATCCTGGTAGCCCTGCTTCCCATCTGGCTCCCTGCTTGTGGCCTGGAAAAGCAGTGAAGGATGGCCCAAAGCCTTGGGACACTGTACCCACGTGGGAGACCCAGAAGCAGCTCTGGGTTCCTGTCTTTGGATTGGCTCAGCTCCAACCATTGCAGCTGCTTGGGAGTGAGTCAGCAGACGGAAGATCATACTCTCTGTCTCTTCTCTGTATGTCTGCCTTTCCAATAAAAATAAATAAATCTTTAAAAAAAAAAAAAAAAAGAAATGAAGCTGGGATTTTAACTCAACAATTGATATGGGAAACAAGCAGTGTTTAAATAAGACCTTTTCTGGAGCCTGTGTGATAGCTCAGCTAGCTAATCCTCCACCTATGGTGCAGGCACCAGTTTGTGTCCCAGCTGTTCAAATTCCCTTCTAACTCCATGCTTATGGCCTGAAACCTTGGGACCCTGTGCCCCTGTAGAGGCTCTTGACTTCAGATCAGTTCAGTCCCAGCCATGGCAGCTGTCTGGGGAGTGAACAAATGGAGGATTTTTCTTTTTCTCTATTCTCCTTCTCCCTATAAATCTGCCTTTCCAATGAAAGTAAAAAAATAAGACGATGACAGTGACGATGACCTTTTTTCCTGGTACCTTGTGGTCCCAGGGACATGCTCACATATCAGGGATGCTTGATGCTTGTTTTCGGGAAAGCCACATGCTGAGTAAATACATAAATATTTGTGAATATTCAAAATATTGAGAGCAAGGAATGAATGGAGGAAGTCTGAGAGCTCGTATAGGCTAAGAGGTTTGAGATGGAACGTACTGGGGGGTCCCAGAAAGGACATAGCAAACATGGAGAAGGCGACTGTGGACTGCTGATGGCGATGGCACAGGAACAGAGTGGAGGCCAGTGCAGCTTGGAGCAGAGCACCTGCGCAGAACAGCTCAGGAGAGGGATGCCCTAGGGGCTGCTGGGCTGGACCTGGAGGGGCAGGCTTCAGGCTGCTGCCGTGATGGGGGCCGTGCGGGCATGGGTGGAGCTGAGACCTGGGCAGCCACGGGAGAGGTAAAGAAGCAGCTGGATTTCTGCGAGGAGTTTGAAAGGAGAGTCACAGGTATGCTGGCAAGTGTTTATCCCAGATACCTTCTGGGGACCCGTGGGCATGCTTCCTGGCCTTGTGGCAGCTGTCGTTGGTGTAAAGCTGAGGCGGATTTGCAGTTACTGCTGCAATGTGTGGAATGTAGGGTTGGGTGTAAGAAATACAGCCACATCCAGCTTAGTCTCAGGACGTTGATGATGTCTGGACCTAAGGAGATGGGCGTCTCCCGGAGAATGGCCATGTCTAGAGGAGAGAGGAGCGAGGCTGAGTGTAAGTGATGGGGATCCTGAATATTGTCAGGAAGGCTCACTGAGAGCCAGGTAATCAGTGTGAAGTGATTGATAGGAAAAATGAAAAGATAATATTGTGTTCAGTTTATCTTGAAATAGTGGGCATGTCTTTCTCTAATTTTTCCACTTAATGTAGTAATTTGGAAATTTACAACCTTAAAAATGGATGTCTGATTTCATACTTTCTTTGTTTTAGTTTTGAAGTGATTAAAGTTATCCATGGAAAATTGTTGGATATGGTGGGGAAAGTGCAGTAAGTAACACTATTTTATTTCTTGTTAGATAAACTGTTAAAATAATGTCTCTTCAGCAATGTAACTTAGCACTAACTGGTTCATTTTGCATTTTTTCCCCCTTATAAACAGAATACCTATAATGCTGGTTGGGAATAAGAAAGACCTGCATATGGAAAGGTTTGTAGCTTTTCAATCACTGTGTGTAAATGAAACCCTGAGTGACTTAGTCACTGAAATGCCATTTGTAATTGAGAACAGTGTAGTTGTAATATTTATGTCTTTTGAAAAATCTTTCAGTTATGCAGCAGAAGTAAGACCACACACTGCTTTAGAAAGGAGAGAACAAACTTCTAGAGAATTGTCTTTAAAACATAAAACAAAATCTGCACGCGCAGCACTCGTTTGTTAGGTACTTTTGAGAAGTAAGGCTGGGGTTAGTGGTGAGCCATGGAGACGGGGACCCTGGGCAGCCCACCCAGCCACACACACTCACACTCACTGCAACCCCAGCTCCAGCCTCTGAGTGTCATGTTGGAGAGGAAGACATTGTGGTATAACATGCCTAACAGAATTGTGCCCGGCACGCTAGCCTAGCAGCTAAAGTCCTCCTCGTCTTGCACACACTGGTTCCCATTTGGGTGCTGGTTGGTGAAACAGAGGCCCTGCTTCCCATCCAGCTCACTGCTTGTGGCCTGGGAAAACAGTAGAGGACAGCCTTGGGATCCTGCATCCATGTAGGAGACCCAGAAGAAGCTTCTGACTCTGGCTTTGGATCAGCACAGCTCCAACTGATGCGGCTTCTTGGGGAGTAAATGAGCAGACATAAGATCTTCCTGTCTGTTTCTCTTCCTCTGTGTATCTGACTTTTTAATACAAGTAAATAAATATTAAAAAAAAAATTAGCTGTGAGCCCTTCCAGAATTCTTGTCTTGGAGTGCTTAAAACCTGGTTAGAAAGTAGTCTATTGTTACATATATTAGCATTTTGTGAAGGGCAGTTATGATCTCCAATCTACAAGACCTTGCCTGAGCATGGTAACTCTGTGGGGCGTCTACCGTCCCCAGTTGTGCTGGGTCCGCCCCGGCTAGTCACCCCGTGCGGCGGGTCTGCCAGAGTCCTGAGTGTGCCCTGCTGTGGCATTGAGGATGAGAACGCGGAGCGTGGCATTGTGCATCACGAGGGAAAACCGATCAAAGTGGATTCTGCGTTTGATACAGTGAAGAGTTTGATACAGTCTGTGTTTTAACCAAGCCTTCTTTTTTCTTTAGGGTGATCAGTTATGAAGAAGGGAAAGCTTTGGCGGAATCCTGGAACGCAGCGTTCTTAGAATCGTCTGCTAAAGAAAATCAGGTACGTGTTTTTGAAGCAGAGTTCTTGCTGTGTTCTCACCAGCTGCGCGAAGATGTCCCTGGGTTGGTGGCGTCAGTGGTGACTTCTGGCGGTATCACTCCTGTTGAATTTTCAGTCTCGCACCATTGTCAACAAGCTGTAGGTTGCTTTAAAAAGATACTGATGTTTTTGTAAATCCAACCAATATAACACTTGTGATTGGGGCCTGAATATTTTTAAATGTTAATGAAAAAAGGAATTAAAAGATGAATTTATTTAGGGGCAAAAGTTAGAAATTCATGCTTGTTTCTTAACAGGTTTGGTGTTTTTGTTTTGTTTTGTTTTGTTTTGTTTGTTTGTTTGGAAAGGTAGATCAGATTTACAGGATGGAAAGACAGAAAGATCTCCCATTCACTCCCCAAGCAGCCACAATGACTGGAGCTGAGCCAATGCAAAGCCAGGACCTTCCTCTGAGTTTCCCACACAGGCACAGGGCCATTTTCTGCCTCATTTCCAGACCATAAGCAGGGAGCTAGATGGGAAGTGGAGCAACTGGACACCAACCGACACCCATAAGGGAACTCGGTGCAAACGAAGATTGAGCCACTGAGCCATTGCACTGGGTGCTTAACAAATTTTCTACAAGTTTTTAAAAATACATTTGTGTTTGGGGCTGGCAAAATGGCTCAGCAGGTTGATCCTGCACTCCATTGGGCACTAGCCTGTGTCCTAACTGCTCCATTTCTGATCTAGCTCTCTGTTTATGGCCTTGGAAAGCAACAGACGATGGCCTAGAGGCCAGGACCCTTTGTAATCATGTGGGAAACCTGGAAGAAGTTCTTGGCTCCTGGTTTCAAATTAGCTCAGCTCTGGCTGTTGTGGCCATTTGGGGAGTGAACCAGTGGATAGAAGATCTTTCTCTGTTTCTCCTTTCTGCCTTTCCAATAAAAATAAATTTTAAAAAAAATCCCTTTGTGGGGCGCCCAGCACAGTAGCCTAATTGCTAAAGTCCTCACCTAGCATGCATCGGGATCCCATATGGGTGCCAGTTCATATCCTGGCTGCTCCACTTCTCCCTGCTTGTGGCCTGGGAAAGCAGTCGAGGACGGCCCAAGGCCTTGGGACACTGCACCAGCGTGGGAGACCTGGAAGAAGCTCCTGGCTCCTGGCTGTGGATCAGCTGTTGCAGCCATTGGGGGGTGAACCAGCAGCTGGAAGATTTTTCTTTCTGTTTCTTCTTCTCTGTAAATCTGACTTTCCAATGAAAAACAAACAGAAAAAATTGTTTTTTTACAATAAACAGAGTAGTAAAGAAAATGCTACCTTTGTCAGCATATCCTTGTATTAAAGGCTGACAGAAGTAATAGTTACCTTAAATCGTTGTAGTACTGGTTCTGTACCTCAACCCCCCCTTATATGCAGGATGAAACCGTATCAGCACGTTTCATCTCTGACCAAGAAACAGCTAAGAACAGTTTCATAGATGTTTATTCATTTGAAATTCAGAGTCACAGAGGAGGGGGAGACAGAGACATCTCCCACCCACCGTGTGACTGCAGAGCTGACCCCGCAGCCAGCGCTGCTTCTAGGGCACCCTGGGGTGTGAGCGCCTCCATCCCTACACCTTCTCGGGATGCTTTTCTCAGGCCATTGGCACGCAGCAAGGTTGCAAGTAGTACTTGAACTCTGTATAATTCCTGAGTCCCAAGTTAGCACAGTATTTATCTGCGTATTTTGTTGTTCATGTGTAGCTAGAATTGAGAATGGAAGTAGTGAGAAATGTCTGAGTTTGTTAACTGGTTTAAATTAAACATTTAAAAATCCATTAGCATTTATTGAGTGCCGCTCTAAATACCAAAATCAGTCATCCTATTTAATAGTCAGAAAATTAAGATCAAAGTAAGTTAACTACGTTTTCAACATTTACACTGTGTGGTATCAGGACTGAGACTGAATTTGTAAGATGAAACTGCATCCCCTCCTTTTTCCTCTGTTGAGTGCCTTCTGATAAACAGGAGATTCTAAGCCAGCGACCTTAACTAAAGAAAAGGGCTAGGGCATGGAGCTAGCTGCAGCTTGATTAGGAGTACAGACAACTCATTCAGCCGCCAGGACAGCAGGCAGAGCAGGTGGACAGAGCACGAAAAGGTCTCCTGTGAAGGCAGCTCCTGGGCTCTGGTGAAGTGTCAACCAAGGGCAGCAGCTGAGTGAGGAGAAAGAACAAGGCTTGACACCTTCCACCGGGAGAGCCACAGAGGTGGTACAGGTAGTTGAGGGACTGTCAGTGGTGTGTATTGCCCAGGGATGGCAGCTGCTAGTGCTGTTGGTTCAAAAGGAGTTAGAGTCTGATTAGTATATTGGGATATGTAGTCTAAATCCACCAAGAACAGATTAAGGGACAGAAGTGGTTGGATCGATCAGGTCTCTGCAGGGTTGAGCATTGGGTTCAGACGCAGGGAGCCGGGCTTGCGGGGTGATGTGTTGCTCAGAGTCACAGCAGTGGAGGAAGGTGGTCATCGGTAATGATGAGAACCAGCCCCTTAAACGGGGACATTTTTCTCACAATCACACTGACTGCAATTGAAGGACAGGGGTGGTAGTTCCCATTGTCCTTCGGTGTAAGAGAGGCCCCTTGTCATGGAAGACATGAGAGGCTGAGGTTGGGGCAGACTGGAGGCACCAGTGGGTTGGGAGGTCAGTCTGTGGGTTGAAATGATCAGGATCTGTGCTGGAGTGGTATTGGAACAGCAGTGTATAGTCCCCTGGAGGGAACTGCCCATGAAAGCCTACTGCAAGATGTTAGATACAGTCTCAGAATTTAGGGATCAAACTTGGGGGTCAGCACTGTGATGCATTAAGCTAAGCCCCTGCCAGCAGCACTGGCATCCCATATAAGCACCGGTTCGAATCCCTGCTGCTTTATTTTTTAAGATTTATTTTATTTTTATTGGAAAGTCGGAGAGACTTTGTTGGTTCACTGCCCTAGCAGCCACAGTGGATAGAAAGTTTTCTGATGTGGAGCTGGAACTATGTCAACCTGAAGCCTGGAGCCTGGAGCTTCTTCCAGGTCTCCCACACGGGTGCAGGGTCCCAAGGCTTTGGGCCGTCCTCAACTGCTTTTCTATGCCACAAGCAGGGAGCTGGATGGGAAGCGGGGCTGCTGGAATTAGAACCAGTGCCGATATGGGACCCTTGCGTATTCAAGACCAGGACTTTAGTAACAAGGTACCACACCAAGCCCACTGTTCCGCTTCTGATCAGGCTCTCTGCTAATGGCCTGCGAAAGCAGGTCCTTGGGTTCCTGCACCCACATGGGAGACCTGAAAGAAGCTCCAGAGTGAACCAGCAGGTGAAAGACTTTTATCTCTGTATAACTGTGCCTTTCAAATAAAAATGGATACTTATTTTTAAAATAAGAATCCGTGCTAGGAGTTTGGGGAGGTGGTATAAAGGAAAGAGCGTAAACAAGAGCACCAGGGCAGGCTGTGAGAGGGCAGGACTGCCTTCCCTCGGGAGGAGCTGCAGGGGGAGCTGAGTCGGGCGTGAAGAGGGACCCTGACAGGCCGGGGCTGCTCTGGGTGATGACTAAGACCAGGAGGTGGCCTTCCCAGGGGCACCACAGCCTCTGCACTCACCTGCAGGAAGGCCTGGCAGGTGGCCGGCCTCCTACCCTGTGGAAGGATCGCCAAAGCACTGTTTATAATATTACTGTTTCTTTTTTTTCCCTCTTCAGACTGCTGTTGATGTTTTTAGAAGGATAATTTTGGAGGCAGAAAAAATCGACGGGGCGGCTTCGCAAGGGAAGTCGTCGTGCTCGGTGATGTGACCGCCGTGACGCCCGGGGGCTGGGCCATGCTTCCTTGGCTTCTGTCCACCTGATAGGTGGCATTGGGTCAGAGCTTTTTTTTTTTCCCCCTTTCAGATTATGTTCAACTCTGACTCTGTCCAAATGAGTTCACTTCCATTTTCAAATTTTAAGCAATCATATTTTCAATTTATATATTGTATTTCTTATTAATATTATGACCAAGAATTTTATCGGCATTAATTTTTTCAGTGTAGTTTGTTGTTTAAAATAATGTAATCATCAAAATGATACATATTGTTACACTACTAACTAGGCTTCAACATATCAGTGTTTATTTCATTGTGTTAAATGTAAACTTGTAAATAAAATAGCTGCAAACCTTAATCCTTTGTGTGGTTTGATGTCTTTTGAAAAAGAATCTTGGTTTCCTGAGTTTTTCTTAGTTTTGAGGAGGATTCTGGTTGATTCCAGGAGCCAGTGAAGGGTGTGGCCACAGGAGCTGGCGTGAAAAGCCTTGGCATGCTCTTGCTGACCTCAGGCAGAGGTCCACAGGTAGCAGGACTGGACTCTGAGTGAGTGATGGCGACACAGCTGACTGTTCATGGGGGCCCCAGGAGCAGCTGTGCCCTGCCCATGGCCTGCACATCTAGACCTTGTCTGCAGTGTCCTGGCTGGGATGGCCGTGTGGTCCCTTGCTGCGTTTTTGTTAACTTGCTGCGTCTTTGTCGTACTGTTGTGAGGCATTTTCTGCTGTCTGGGCTCTACATGGTGACCACATCAGTCAGGGTAGGGGTTAAAGGTAGCTGTGCCTTCCAACATCCCAAAGTGACAGAGAACAGGATCTGTTCTATCCATTGGCCACTCCCCAGATGACCTCAACAACCAGGGCTGGGCCAGGCTGGAGCCAGTAGCCAAGAACTCCACCCTGGTCTAACACAGTTGGCAGGTGCACAAGCAGGTAGGCCGTCATCCACTGCCTGCCCAGGTGTATCTCCAAGAACTGGTGCTCCAGTATAGGATGTTGGTGTGGCACAAGTGACAGTTTAACCCACTGTGCCACAGTGCTGGCCCACGAGGTTCTTGAAAGGACAAGGTAGAGTACCCAGCAGGTGTTCCTTCTGTGCCAGACTTTACCTCATCAGACTGACTGGTACCTCCTCCCACGGTTTTCTTAAGTAGAATGGAAAAATTAGGGGCTTGGGACCATGTTTCGGTATCCTTTTCCAATCCAGGATGAAATTTGAGCCCTTTACCAAATACTCAACTTATTATTTATTTATTTTTTTTATTGGGAAGTCAGATATACAGAGAGGAAGATCTTCTGTTCACTGGTTCACTCTCCAAGCGGCTACAATTTCCTGAGCTGAGCCAATCTGAAGCCAGGAGCCCGGAGCTGCTTCTTCCATGTCTCCCAAACAGGTGCAAGGTCCCAAGGCTTTGGGCTGTCCTCAACTGCTTTGCCAGGCCACAAGCAAATGGGAAGTGGGAAGTGGAGCAGCTGTGACAAGAACTGGCATCCACTGAGATCTCAGCACTTGCAAGGTGAGGATTTAGCCACTGAGCCTGAATACTCAGTTTTTAAAATAAACAAAAGTTTTGGCAACAGTGTTACTTATTTAGCAGGGTTTATTTTTAATTTTTATTTTTGATGATTGCATAGGAGAGAATTGAGGGTTAGGGGACAGTGGATGTGACCACTGTTTCCACATTTTCTTCCTATATCTGGGGGAATGGGGAAGATCAGGGGAGAAGCTGTAGCCAGCCTCCCAACTGCCCCAATACCTAGTGATGGGGAACTGCCACTGGTACACCCACGGTCCCCAGTGTGGAGCGTGTTCCGAGGGGTCTACTGAAGTGCTTTCTGTAGTTTGGAATGCTATCAGTCTCTCCAAGGATGAGAAAATCCTTCCAAAGCCCATTGACTGACATAGTCGACCCTAGAGTCTCCGTTCACCTAGGTATTTGCTGTCATCACTTGGTTGGGGGAGTTGTCCTATTTGTTCTGCCCTCCTTCCTCTGCTGTGGTACCACATGTTCTCTCCACACCCCGGTGGGCTGCCACATCTGGGTCAGCCATCCACTGCTCCATCTTTTCCCCTGAAGAGGACACCCCGGACCACCTACTTGGACTCATCGACCCAGCACCCACCACGTGATCCGGGCCCTGCCAGTTTGTAACTGGGGATATGGCTTCGTTTCTCCACTTTTTGAGAAGGAGGGTTCTTACAGTATGTAGCCCTCTCCACCAGCAGTTGCGTGTGTTGGCCTCATGCCGCTCAGATCTTTGCTGCACAGCCAGTTCTGCTACCAGCTTCTCTCCCACACACGATTGGTAGGCTTCACGGGTACCTCATTCTCCTTTTTCCCCCTAAAATTGCCCAGGGGAGTGCCTGGCGGCGGCATGGCGTAGTAGCTGGGGTCCTCGCCTTGTACGCATCGGGATCCCATATGGACACCGGTCCTAATCCCGGCAGCTCCACTTCCCATCCAGCTCCCTGCTTGTGGCCTGGGAGGACGTCGAGGACGGCCCAAAGCCTTGGGAGACCTGGAAGAAGTTCTCTGCTCCTGGCTTCGGATCGATGCAGCACCGGCCATTGCGCTCACTTGGGGAGTGAATCATCGGACGGTAGATCTTCCTCTCTATTTCTCCTCCTCTCTGTATATCTGACTTTGTAATGAAAATAAAATAAATCTTTAAAAAAAGAAATTGCCCAGGCGAAAGGTTTAGGCCCTGAGTGGCAGGTGACAGCCGTTCTCTGTGAGCCCCCACTTCATCCTGACCTTTCACAAGGAGCAGGGTGTGCCTGTAGGGATAGGCAGATTTCCCATGCCAGTGGCCATGTGGTTGAAATTTCCCACCACTCTGTAAAAGCAACAGAACATAGCCCAAGTGTGTGGGCCCTTGCCCCAGTATCAGAAATCCAGGTGAAACTCCTGGCTCTTGGCTTCAGCCTGGTGCAACTACCTGGGCATCAAGCAAGTGGGTGGAAACTTCTCACATACCTCTGTTTATAGCTCTGCCTTTCAAATAAATACACCTTAATAAAAATTCTCCAAGGCCAGTGCAATGGCTCAGCAGGCTAATGCTCTACCTGCAGCACTGGTATTCCATATGTGCACCAGCTTGTGTCCCAGCTGCTTTATTTCCAATCAAACTTTCTGTTGACGGACTGGGAGAGCAGCAGGGGATGGCCTTAGTGCTTGGTTCCCTGCACACACGTGGGAGACCAGAAAGAAGCTCTTGGCTCGAGTGGGCTCAGTTCCAGCCTTTGCCGCCTTTGCTGCCATCTGGGCAGCAAACCAGCAGATGGATGATCTCTCACTTTGCCTCTCTCTGTATATCTGCCTTTCAAGTAAAAATACATAGGGCCCAATATGATGGTTTAACCAGCTGATCTACTTCCAAGCACTGATACCCCATATGGGTGCCAGATTCATGTCCCAGCTGCTCCCCTTCCCACCCAGCTCCCTGCTTGTGGCCTGGTAAAGCAGTGGAGGACGGCCCAAAGCCTTGGGACCCTGCACCCGCATGGCTCTTGGCCTTGGATCGGCTTGACTCACCATTGTGGGCATTGGACAGTGAACCAGCAAATGGAAGATCTTTCTCTGTCTTCTCTCTGTAATCTGCCTTTTCAATAAAAAGAAATCTTTACAAAAATAAAAAAAGTGTTCCACCACTCAAGTAGTACCTTTGGTCTTTCCTTGCCTTTCGGTGGTTCTCTGGCTGCTGCCAAGCAGCAGGCACTGGTATGTCCTTGGCAGCACACAGAGACCTGCACAAAGAGGAGGCTGCTGTGGCCAGGAAGCCATTCACACGGCCCTGCATGTGTTGCTGTTGTATTTTGGCTTATTAACTCCTAGTCTTCCTATAGGAGCCTCCAAGCAGGCTGTCAGCACAGGTCAGGATGGTCCAGGGGGAGCCCAGGCTGGAGGGAGACCTGTGGGTGCCAGGGTGACCCGTGGTGAAAGTCTGCTGTGCATACAAACGGGACCATCAAGGAGAGGAACTGTGGCTGCCTGGTGAGCCAGGCACCAGGGCGCTTTTCAGAGCAGTCCTTTGAAAATGCCAGGCGCATTCCAGTGCTTTCTTTCCCCCCTTTTAAAAAGACAAAATTTCACATTATGAAAGAAAAAAAAAAAATGGGGACAAGCACTCAATGGCTAGTCCTCTACCTGCAAGTGTAGCATCCCATATGGGCATCAGTTCACATCCCGGCTGCTCCACTTCTCATCCGGCTCTCTGCTTATGGCCTGAGACCTTGGGGCCCTACAAACACTTGGGAGACCCACAACCTCCAGGCTTTCAGATCAGCTCAGTTCCAGCTGTTGTGGCCATTTGAGGAGTGAACCACGATTGGAAGATCTTTCTATCTCTCCTCTCTAATTCTGCTTTCCAATAAAAATAAACCTTAAGAAAAAGAAGTGGGGGTCCAACACGGTGGTGCCGCAAGGTAAGCTGCTGCTTGTGACTGAAATCCTGGATGGGAGCAGAGTGTGAGTCTCGGCTGCTCTGCTTCCCTTGCAGCTCTCCACTAACATCTGGGAGAAGGCTGGTGATGACCGCATGCCTGGGCCCCTGCCACCTGCAGAGGGACCAGGATGGAGTTCCAAACCCTGGCCATTTGAGAGTGAAACAATCCCCTGCCTTTTTTTTTTTTTTTAAGATTTATTTATTTATGTTGGAAAGGCAGATATATAGAGAGGAGGAGAGACAGAGAGGAAAATCTTCCATATGATGATTCACTCCCCAAGTGACCGCAACGGCTGGAGCCGAGCCAATCTGAAGCCAGGAGCTTCTTTCCAGGTCTCCCACATGGGTGCAGGGTCCCAAAGCTTTGGGCCGTTCTCCACAGCTTTACCAGGCCACAAGCAGGGAGCTGGATGGGAAGCGGGGCCACTGGGATTAGAACCAGTGGCTATAAGAGATCCTGGCACGTCCAAGGCAAGGGATTTTAACTGCTACGCTATCACGCTGGGCCCGATTCCCTGCCTTTTAAGTAAGCAAAATCTTTTTAAAACAAAGTTCTAAAGGAAAAAGAAATAAATGAAAATAGAAAAGGTCCTGCACAATGTTTGTGCTGCTCGACCCTTAGGATGGTTCTCTCCCTTTGGAAGCCTCCTGGAGGGCAGCAGAATGGCCAAGTGAAGTCTGTGGTATCCCTGGGACTGGCAAGAATCAGGTCTGTCCTTGTGGCAGAGGATGTGGTCACAGGCAGCTGACATGACTGTCCCTACCCACAGGGAACCTTGGTTACATTACACTTGGAAGCTGCAGCTCTGGTCCTAGCTGCCGCTAATGGTGTCTCGGCAGCTCCCTCACCTTCCTATGCCCATGAAACTGCCCTTTGCCAGCGGCTGCGGCAACAGCCACAAGTCTGCATGC